ATCACAGAGTTTGTTAAATGTCAGATAAACTTATTTTTATTATTTTGAGGGTTTTTTTTTTTTTAAGTTCAAAACCTTTTCTGACTTTGATCTCTATGGAGTCTCTTTAAGCCATCTTTTATTAAACTACCAGCTGTTCCTGAAAAATGAAGTTCTCTTGAACATGCTTGTTTAATAGTAAACAGTCCAAAAATATATTAAGAAAACTTAAAATGTGCTCTTCCATTATGTAACTTGTGGCTGGCAATCTGGTGTAGGTTGAGCATCCCAAATTTGAAAATCCAAAATCTGAAATGCTCTGATATCTGAAACTTTTTAACTACTGACATGATAGTCAAAGGAAATGCTCATTGGAGCATTTTGAATTTGATTTTTTGGATTTGTGATGTTCAACTAGTTAAGTATTACAAAATCTGAAAAAAATCCAAAACACTTCTGGTCCCTAGCATTTCAGATAAGGGAACTTAACCCATATGTATATTTCACACCACTTTCTGTGCACACATAGATTCCCCAGATGTTAACATGTTATCATTTCTGAGCTTTTTGAAAGTTACAGGCATAATATTCTATCCCTAAATACTTCATGTGTATTTCCCTAAAACGAAGATACTCTCTTATATTACCTTAGTTCAATTCTTAACATTGATAAACAATTTTTTTAAAGTTTGGAGGTAGGGTCTTGCACTGTCACCTGGGCTAGAGTGCAGTGGCATTATCATAACTTACTGCAGTCTCAAACTCTTGGGCTCAAGTGATCCTCCTGCCTCAGCCTCCCAAGTAGCTGGGACTACAGACACATGCCACCACACCCAGCTAATTTTCTCTATTTTCTGTAGAGATGGGGTCTCACTTTTGCTCAGGCTGGTCTGAACTCCTGACCTCCGGTGACCCTACTGCCTCAGCCTCTCAGATTGCTAGGATTACAGGCGTCAGCCACTGCACCTGGCCCTAGTTATGTATTTATTTATTGTTTTTTTGCCCATTTTATCTGCCATAAAGTGAGAGAGTAGTTGTCCATTACTGGTATTTAAAAACAAAAAAAATTCTCCTATTTCTTTGATTTTTTTTTTTTGCTTTGTAAATATCACGTCTCTTTACTTGTGCACAGATATTTATAACATGTTTATAGTGTATCGCGCCTTTTTTAAATTTAAAACAGTCTCATTTTTCTTAATGCCCTTTGGCCAGAATACTGCCTTATTTGATGATAATTGAGACTATTTGCATTTTTCTCCTATAGCTTTGTTCATCCTTTTCAACCTTTCCCAATCACTTTAGGTGTCTGTTACATTCAATATAGAGTTTTGCTTAGAGAGAAAGTGTTCAAATCTTGTTCTTTTAATAGTTGAGTTGAGGCTATTTATGTTTATTCGTATGACAAATGTCTGCCCAATTGGCTTTATTTGTGCGTATATATTAATAGTTGTGATATTTAAAAACTTTTGTAGTTTTATTCTAGTGGATACCTGTATAATTAAAACTATAAAATAATATACTAATCATTTATTTCATTGTTCTCTAGTTTCCCACCATGAAGAATAACAGAATTGGTGTATTTTTTTTCCTCTTATCTTTTTACCCTTTCTCTTCTATACTATCTGATTTTGGTCAGAAATACTATTTGTCTTATTAATGCTAATCTTTGCAATATTTGATTTGTCACCTTGAAGCATATATTTGGTTTCTAGCTATCTTAGATGACAGGTATCATCTAATTATTCTACTTTTTGTCTTTTTCCTCTCACACTTTGTTAATTGTATTGATTTCATCTTTTCGGTGCATGTGACATTTATACGATATTCTGACACCTGTACCCCTATATTTGTTTCAGTTATTCTGTAGTTAATTTCAGTCAAATCTTTTACTGTTGCTTCCCCAATAGTTTCTTGGTTTGCTGAAATTCATCGCCTCGGTCCTCGATACTCAAAACATGGTCCTTGGATGGGCTTCATTGTCATCACTGTGAGCTTATCAGAAATGCAGAATCTCTGACCCATGCCAGACTTGCCAAATCAGAATCTATACTTTCACACAATTCCTAGGTAATTCATATTATGTTCATTGCAGTTTGAGAAGTAACACTCTAGTAGTTTCCAAAAGAAGGGCTGGCTTGCAGGAGTAAATCCCCATCCAAAACAATCTGTAACATTTAGTCTTGAAGGAAAGTTTGGATGTAAAATCCTTGGGTCATTGTTTGGATCTTGACTCAAATCAACTGTAATAAGACAGTTTTGACACAGTATGAAAACACTTAAGCACAAGGTATTAGATGATATTAAGACATTTTTAAATTTGATTAGTTGTATAAAGATATTGTGGTTCTTTTTAAAACTCTATATTATCTGCTGAAGAGACATTAGGTTTGTGGGTGAAAAAATATATATTATTTGCTTTAAAATAATCCATCCTCCCACCTCAACAAAGTTGGGGTGGGATGGGAAATAGATTAAACAAGAAGATGATGCTGATAATTTTTGAAGCTGTAAATCGGCGTGGGGCAGGCAATCAGTATTCTCTTTACCTTTGCATATGTTCATACAGTTACTGAACACAAAGTTAAGAGAATAATCGAATCATACTTTGTAGTTGCTGTTCCTGAACGTGACCGTGATGAAATCAGCCAGTCTTCCCAGCTTATATTCTTAAAACCATACATTTTTATGTCTTAAAGGAGGAGGATAGCAGTGGGCAACAGGGTGTCTGATTGATGTGCGGAGTAGAGACATATCCTCTCCCCATCCCCACCCTGACCTGTGCCTCCAAGTGTAGACCCTTTTGGGGGTTCTGTGGGTCAAGCAGCCCACTTCACAGTATCCTGTAAGCACCCAGGTTGGTGATTCCTTCTCTCTCCCAGCATGGTCACAACTCTTCCAAATGCTTTCCATATTCCAAAAAACGTGTTAATCTCATTTCTCTTCCTCCCATTCTCTTTTTCCTTCTCCATTTACATCATACCTATTCCTTCTATGTGTTTTTAGGAGTTAGAGGAGGCAACACACACAGTCAACCTGGCTTGTTTAACTGGAAGACCTGCGAGACTAGATAACGCGACAGTGTTAAACTGACCTTTGCGTAATGAGCCCAATATCCACAGTCGCATCATGTTAGCAAAATGGTTACTTCAGGGAGTTTCCAAATCAGGTTCAGTGATTTGCTACAAGCATTCCACAGAATTCAGCAACGCTGTTATACTCACAGTTTATTACAGAGAAAGGATACAGATTAAAATCAGCAATGGAAAAAGGTACATAGGCAGGGTCTGGGAGACACCAGGCACAAGCATCCAGTCATCCTCTCCCAGTGGAGTTGTGCAGATAATGGTTAATTTTCCCAGCAGTGATGTCTGACAACACTCATGGGCTGTTCCCAACCAGGGAAGCTCACCCAAGCCTTGGTGTCCAGGGTTTTTATCGGAGATCAGTCACACAGGTGTGACTGATCACCTGTGTAGCCGACATTAGTTTCCAGCTCCTCCAGAGGTCAGGCTGATAACGTGTGGCCCAAGGCTTCAGGTTACAAAAGATACCCTTAGGGGGCAAGATATTTCCAAAGCTCAGAGGCCAGGCAAGGGCCAAATCTTTCTTTGAAATGTACAAGGTTTGGACAATCCCGAGCTGCTGAGCTGATCCTTTACTGCGAGTTAGTGCACATCAGACTCCTCACACACATAAATACTATCTCTACCATTTCTACCAATACGTTTTTAAAGACACACATAACCCATTTTAATCCATTTGAGAATGTAAATTTGTCAGTACCCACTGTTAAAACAGAAATGTCATAAGCAGTTACGTTTGGATCAGATCAGATGCCAGCTTAAACCAGACATTTACCTTCAGGCTGTAGAAGGTGAGGCTGAACCGTGTCACTTATTTAAGGGTATTTGGCCCCCAAATTCCTGTTCTTTCTATATGGAAAATTGAGTGACAGACACTTGAGTCAGCATTTTTCTGTGCTAATGCATGAGATAAGAGGACAGTCATTGGGCTAGATATGGTCAAGGGTCAGAATGTCATCATCTTTATCTGTTTGTGGAAGACCTTTTGGTTCTGTTAGGCACTTGCTAGGTTATAAAAGATTCAGAACAAAACAAAACAAAAGACATGTATCTTGGATTCCAGAAATGCAAGAAATGGTCTGTAGGATTTTAGAAACCAGAACAGTTTTCAGGCAGTGTTGGGGATCTCAGGGCTACCTGGAATTTTCTGTTCGGCCCAGGTACTACGTGAGTTCATAAGTGATGCCAAAGCTGACTGGAAATTCCTAGATTATAACCTGAAAGTGTCTGGTGTGGTGATGATTTTGGCTTAAAAAGAAAATCTTTACTAATGTCGGGGAACAAAGAACGAAAAAACTGTCACCTAAACTGTAAATATATTTTTAGTCTCTTGTTTTTTAAACAAAATTTGAATCCTCATGTTTGTATACTTCTGAATTTTGCTCTCCTCAACTAACATTGTTGTCTGAGCAACAGTGTTTTGATAGGACGGTGTAGGACTTCATTTCTATGTACAAAGATCTGTTCTATTTGCAGGGGCGGGGGGATGGGGTGGGGAGGGAGGGCCAGATGAGCACTCACTGTTTGGAAGCGGTTAACATTTTATAACATTCCTTCGTTTGGGGTCTCGTTCAAGGACTGCTCATGCCAAGGTGTTTCTTTGTGGTCTCAACCTGGGAGCATCTCTGTCCATGCAGGAGGACCCTTAGGCTTGGGGAGAAGCTCTGAGCAAGCTGGATGCTCTCAGGGATGAGTTGATGCCAAGGGACACTGAACCTCCAAATTCCGAGGAGTTACTGTCCCACCAAGTAAGTGTAGTTGAGCCTCGCATCAGAGGAGCAAAGGCTTAAAATTACAGGAGGTTGGTGGCCACTGGATAAAGTTACTTTTCTGTAACAGTGGCCTGGACTGAGCTGAGTTAAAAGTTGGTCCTTGCATTCACTTTCATGTTAGTCCTTGCATGTACTAAGCGCCTCCTTTTCTCCCCCTCACTAACAGAGCTCCCTCGCGGAGACCCTGGATAGCACTGGCAGTCTGGACCCCCAGAGATCGGACATGATTTACACCATAGAAGATGTTCCTCCCTGGTACCTCTGTATATTTCTGGGGTTGCAGGTATGATGGTTCCTGTAGTCTGTGTAACCACCAGCAGATGCCTGAATTGTCTATCTGGATTTTAAAAATTCAGCCTTGATTTTTATTTATTGAAGATGTTATTATAAATAACTCTTTTAAGAATGATGTCTGGGAATCGTTAACATCAATTTTGTCTTAGCGGGAGGAAGAAAAGAACAGGAACAATAGCTTAACCAGGGAAAAGAAAGAAGGAAAATATTTAGGAAAGAGGCAAGAGAAGTGATATGAAAGGAAGAAAAAAAGATAGTAGAGTTATAGAAAGAAGGGAGAGTAGGGGAAGGAGAATAGTAGAAGAGTAGAGAAAAAGAGGAGTTAACTTTCATTCCCCATCCCTGGCCTACCCAGCCATAGTCATTGCAACTCTTCCATGAAATATTGGCAACCCTGAAAAGTGCCATGTTGGCCCAGGACCTAAATGAGAGGTTTCTGTCTTATTTTTCAAAGGACGGGAAACTGCCATCGCAGTGGCTGCTTCGTCTGCTGCAGCTCTCTCAGTGGGAAGGGAGGGTGGACAGGCCAGGGTCAAGGCAGCAGTGACACAGTCTGACGGAGGCTTCCTGAGTCTTTGGCACTTTCCCTATTCTCTTTTCAGCACCCTCTTCCCTCTTACAGGATTTTTTTTTTTTTTTTTTTTTTAGACAAGTCTCACTGTTGCCCAGGCTAGAGTGCTGTGGCATCAGCCTAGCTCACAGCAACCTCAGACTCCTGGGTTCAGGTGATCTTCCTGCTTCAGCCTCCTGAGTAGCTGAGACTACAGGTGCTCACCACCACACCCGGCTAATTTTTTCTATTTTTAGTAGAGACGGGGTCTCGCTCTTGTTCAGGCTGATCTCGAACTCCTGAGCTCAAGCGATCCTCCTGCCTCGGCCTCCCAGAGTGCTAGGATTACAGGTGTGAGCCACCATGCCTGACCTCTTACAGGATTAAAGTAGGGCTTTTTGAAGGGGACTAGGTGGGAGACTCTTTCTTAGACTCACACACCCCTGGCCTGTATTTGCGTTGGTTTTAGCTTGAACCCTGTTTTGAGGTCTGACTTTACATTCTTTCTTTCTCAAATTTGTGCGATCAGTTCCACTTAAGGTATCTCAGATGTTGGGAAAACCAGTCTCATTGCCCAGACAGGTTTATTTTGATTGAGTTTCCAGCCCCTGCCCCCCACCCCTTCAGGTATCAAAACACATGGTAACCCAGACTGGAGGGTGTCCAGGAAGGGAGGAGTCGGACAGAGGAGCTGAGTGGGCTTGGCTGAGCATTCCAAACCAGGTTCAGGGGACACACTTTTTGTAAGGTTTACATTGTAGAGGTTTCTGGGAGTCTTCCCTGGTCAGATAGGAGTGGGAAGCCCTGCCTGCATCATGCCCTTCTTGACGATACTCAGTGCCCAGATTTGTAAGCCGTTCTGAGAAGTCCTGAGCAGGAATGTCCCAGGAAGCACCTGTGCAGCTGGGCTTTGTGGGCTGCAAGCGACATGTTTGGCAAACATGGGCAGAAATGGGAAGCTATTGGGAAGAAAAGTAGGAAGTTTGCAGAAGTAAGAACTTGGCAACCAGGGAAGGGAGGGAAGTATGTCGTGAGTGCTGGGACTATCCTCCCAGGGCCACAGGTCTATGGGAGGAAGTCCCCAAAGGAAGAGTGGGATGGGGTTCTTTCTGGAAGATACCCACAGCTCTACCGTATGCTCTTATCCCTGCCCTGACTGGAACAGGTAAGTTCCATGTTGGCAAAACAGTGCCAGACCACAGAGAAAGACAGGAAACACCCCATGCAATGAAGCGCACGTAACTTTAATCCCCAGACCTGAAAGCATTTTTTTTTTAAGTGGACTAATTGTCTTAGGAATGTAGATGTAAAATTTTATATAAAATATTGGCAAATCAAATGCCAGAAGAAAAATACAACATGACTAGGGTTCCAAGAATGCAAGAATGGGTTAGCACACCACCATTCATGTTAACAGATTAGAGGAGAAAGGCATATGGTTTTAACAGTTGATGCCAGAAAAGCATAAAAAAGATCTCCCTAATAAGAATTATGTAAGTAAGATATATCCCCAGTGCTCATGCTGGGTGCTTTCTTTGTGCTGATGTGGATTCATGTAAGTAATAGTAAGTGATACCAGTGAGTAATGAGATAGGAAAATATAAAGAAAGGGAGAAATGCTGAAAAAGAGGAAGAAACCGTCATTTGGCACGTGATAAGAATGTGTATCTAGAAGTGTTCACCTGGGCTAATTTTTAGAGACAGTCGGGGAGCAAAGTTAGGACGAAATCAGGAAAAAACAAGGAAGGGTTCATTTTCCCCTCTGTCTCTCCTCCCGCCCTGCAGCACTACCTGACGTGCTTCAGCGGGACGATCGCAGTGCCCTTCCTGCTGGCCGACGCCATGTGTGTGGGGTTCGACCAGTGGGCCACCAGCCAGCTCATTGGGACCATTTTCTTCTGCGTGGGGATCACAACTTTGCTGCAGACAACGTTTGGATGCAGGTGAGATTGGGGTACTAAAGCGGGATGCTGAAGCCCCCATAAGGCATTGAGCTGCGCCACAGGGCTGCTCACAGGCACCCACTGGAGTGGGAGGAGTGTCCCAGTGGCCCGTGGCCCCACCCCTCAGGGTTCCTCCCCCGCGTTTCCTGTCTTGGTGAATGGCATCGCTCTCCCACTCCCAGTTGTGCGAGCTGGACGTTCAGTCCACGCTCCCCTCCTCTCATCCCCCAGCAGGTCACGTCTGCGCCCTGGCACCCCTCCCCTCCCCTGTTCCTTCCGGTCAGAGCTAGAGTGTTCCACTAGGCTCCCAGTGGCTTCCCTTCCTCCAGGGGCTTCTCTTTGACCCACTCTGTGTCCTGCCACCAGTACTGTCTTTCTGACACCCACATCTTCCTCGGTGTTGGCCAGGCTGCAGTTGTACTCCCGGTTTGGTGTGTCCCTTGCTCTCTGCCCCACCGACTTTCCCGGCCATGCCTCTGAGCCCTGCCGCCCACCTTCCCCACTGTCACCCTCAAGCAGGCCCTGCTGTCTCACCTCTTGTGCGTCTGCTCCCCACCCACCTGGCACATACCTGCATCCTCCAGTCCCAGCTTGTCCTGTCCTCCTGTGACACGTCCCCGCCTCCCTGGAAGCCTTCGTTGTTCGCAACTTGTGTTCATCCTTCTAATGTGGCTCTTACTCCAATTTACCCTTTTTTGTTTTTATCTTTTTTCCCACTGGGTTGTGCTTCCCTCCTTGATGCCAGGACTCTGGCGCATTCACCTTTGCACTCCCGGCCCCCAGCTTACATGGGTGTGGAGCTGGCCAGGGGGGAACGGGAACGTCCTTGCCTACCTCATCCTACAAGTTTGCCTTTTCTTCTCCTTCCCTGTCTTCTGCCCTCATACTTTACCCCAGCGCGCTGCTCAGGGGGTGCAGCCTGCTCCAGTGGGACTGTCCTTGACTGTCCTCAGAACACACCTGCAAGTTCTGTCTCTTGCTCCATCAGAGGTAGTCTGAGTAAGGCTCAGCCCTTCCTGTTGGGGGAGTGGGAGAGGGACTCAGCCCGGGAGTCGTGGACTGTATTCTGATGAGTCCGAATCCTCAGGACCGCGAGAGGATTGCCCTTACTTGGGGGGCAGGGGCTTGGGAGAGCAGTGAGTGGGTTACGGTGTTCTAGTTGACAGTGTGGGCCATGCCCTGAGAGGGCAGGCGGCGGGTCTGCTGATGGAAGGAAGCTGTGTGGGCTAAAGGCAGTGGGCCGGCAAGCTTGTGGGGTTTCCAGGTCCCCAGGCCCTGTTAGACTGCACACGCCGTGCTGAGCAGAAGGGAGGGTCTCCTCAGGGCACCTGGAGGGGAGGGGCAGGGGTGGCATTGACCTGCTGGGGAAGGAGATGTGGTCTGGGCCTCCCAAGATGGACTCAGGCCAGGCAGTTAAATGTGGCTGGCAGCCTCTTTCACGGCTCTGCGCTTCATGTCCAGAGTGGATGACAAGGCTTTTATTGGCTAACTTGGGAGCCTTACCTTGCATGCAGGTGCTGGCTCTCTGGGGACATCTTTTTCTAAACAGCTGACTTATCAGTGACTATCTGTAGGCACAGTCCATCTGTAAATTTGGGCAGTGCCTCTAATTGAGAATCGTTGGCTGATTTGAAGAGGGAATGAAGGATGTCTTCATTGCAGTAAAGCACGCACTGGGGCACGAGCTCTGCCCCATCTCACACCAGGGAGGCCAGTCCGGGCTGACAGCTGAGCCCAGTGGGCGTCCTTGTGTGATGGTGGCACAGGGAGGGCCTGGGGGGCTTTGGGTGATACTTTGGGTCATGGAGGGCACCCTGTTGCCCACCTTTGGGGCACAAGAACTAAATGGAACAACCGGTCAGTGCTGTTCACCTCCCTCAGCCTCTTTGAAAGAGCAGTTGAGCTGAGGAAGAACAGGGGTGGGATTTGACACCCTGCCGAGGTGGCTCAGGGGCCCAGAATGTAGCTTTATGACCTGTGGGGGGTGTGTGTGTGCCCTGTATCCGCAAGGCTTGGTGCGCAGTCTTCCTTGCTCTCTGCCCGGTGAGTCAGGGAGAGCCCGGCTGAGTCCTTTGGCATGTGGGGAGCAGCGCCCCATCCTTGCTTCCATCCTGCCCGAGGTGTGTGTGTTTGCTCAGCTGTAAACCAGGAGGCACTGTCACGTCCCCGCTTCGGTGAATGTGTGCGGCTGGGCGGGTGAGGGAGTTTGGAACGGCTCTGGGCTTGGGATGTGGGTTTTCTGTGGCAGTTGGGGTGTGGGTGGTGCCCATACTCTTAACCTGGGCAAAAGGACTAGTCCTGGCTCCATCCCACAGACTTCGTGCCAGGGAGCTTGGCTGTGCTGGTGAGCAGAGGTGATGACGGAGAGGCAGTGGTGTCCTGCAGGGAATCACGGAGGACGTGGTGTGTGAGACAGCCCCTGAGGACTCTGCAGCTCTCTGCCCAGGAGGGTGAGGGAGCACCTTCCATCAAAGGCAGTACTGCACGGGCTGGCGGGCAGTTCCTCTTCCCACAGTGCAGAGGCGGGACTTGGGCAGGATCAGCAGGGCACAGGGACCCTGCCATAGCCTTGTCAACGGGGCACTCACCAATGGCGCTGTGCCTGGAAGGAGTACAGGGGGTCAGGGCATCCCAGGGCGTCCTTGCTATCCACGAGAGCAGCATTGTGGGCCCAGGTGCACGTGGCGGGTGGGGGATGGGAAGGAGACCCTGGGGAGCAGGAGAGTGGATTCGAGGAGGGAGAAAAGGAGGGTGTGTCTGGCGGATGAGTTCAGTTCCAGCCCAAGCTCTAGAAATCGATTCCTCATTTGTCTCGATTGAAGAATCTTTATGGATTAGAGAGCGCCTTCGGGATGGGGGCGGGGGGTGCCCCAGCCATATGTCATCAGCCTGCTCTGTCACCCTGCTTGCATTCTTGGCCCTCCTAGTGCTCAGTGACACTCTTGTTCTGATTCTCTGTGTTAGCAGTTCTTCTTCTATCCTGGAACCCTTGCTTCCACCCTGTCTTGCATTGGGCAGTGAGCAGGGGCTCAAAGGCAAAGGCAGGGTCTCCCCTCAGCACAGCCTCAGACCCTGTTGGCAAGTTCTTTCCAGTGTGGGTCCAGGGTACACTCGGGAGCCTGCTGTGCGAGAGGCCGTGAAGGTGTGCTGAGGTGGTGAGGCAGGCGGTCGTTTCCCTCTCTGCCTGGCCAGTCACCATCTGAGGGGGTGTCTGCTACACCGTGTATGTATGTGTCTCATCTCCTCTCACCCCCTGCATCTCTCCCCGCTTCCTCCCTTTCTGTTTGGACTCTGGCTCCTCCACCCCACATCTTCCAATCCTTCCACTGTGCCAGATTGGGTGAGGCCACCCCACCGGCTGAGCCACCTCTCACACCCTTGTTTTGGGTTTCCTCTGAGTTTAGTGAGGGAAGAGCAGAAATGCCAAGAGTGGCCACGTATCCCATTTGCATAGTCTCTCCTGCCCCACCCCTGCCCCCAGTCTTTCCAGCAGAGCAATGTTGGCAGCCAGACTTCAGGGGGAGAGACCCCCGCTGCCCTGTCCTCGGACACCCAGCTCTTATTCAGGACGGCATCTGTTCCAGGGCACTCACCAAAGTCAGCCTTGCCAGAATTGGTGGCGAGGCCAGTGCTAGCGAATGTCAAGTTTTTGGATAGCTTTATGAAATTCTAATCCCTTGGGCAGTCAGAACCTACATTTCCCAAGGTAAAGCATTAGCTCATAGCACGCGGCAAAGGAGAAGTTAGAGGGACCAATGTGGCGTGGCCTCAGACAGGTGACCTCCCCAGCTGTGTTTCCTTTGTGAAAACGAGAGGAGGCTCTTTCTGACGTGTCCTGTGAACAATGTGTTGCCCTTATTTTAATGAATCTATTGTGTTTTTTTAGATTGTTATAAGCTTCCTGAAATACTTTTGAGAAGTTCTGGATATGAATAATATGAAGATCCCTTTAGTTCTGCTAGATACCAAGACAGACCCAGCACAGGCTGCGAATTGTTTTTTTAGACTTGTATGTTTATTTCCTGCTCCAAGCAGGACTGAATAAATAGATAAAGCAGTTGGAGTGGGGTGTGGGGGTGTGAGGGTGGGACGGCGTGGGGGGAAAGGCAGATGTGGCCGAGAGTGTGGGGTCTATTCCCAGCATCACAGCCATAAGGACCGCAGATGGCCTGTGCCGGGTGTGTTTTGTTTCTTTTCTTTTTGGAGCAGCTCACCACTCATTTCCCTCGGCTTAGAGCAGCAGAAGAAAAGTTTTTCATGTCATCTTTCATGATTTCTAAGACAGCTTCTCAGACTTTTCCAACTCGAAGGTGGTTCTGCAGGTTGTGTTTTGAGTTCCATGTGTTTCTTTGTTCACCTACCTCTTGCTGAGCGCCCAGTACTCCCACGACGCTGGATGCTGTGCACGTCCAGTGTAGGGTCTGGAGACAAACTGGGGCCCATGCCTTGAGGCCTGGGGTCTTTATTTTGAGGAGGTATCCAGAGCAGAGCAGGGAACAAAGTGCTGTGGTCGAGTCTTCCCTCATTTCACCTGGGCTCTGTGGTTACGAGTGGAGTGCTGTCCTGAAAGCCTGTTTCATTCTGCAAAAATACCCAGAGTCAAGGGGAAACCCGTGAAGGTGAAACAGATGTGTGCCTTGGAAGACGTGCTCAGAGCACAGAATGCCAACATTAAGATGCCACAGCGTACACGCTGCTGGGGCCACGTTCTCCTGGGCTGGCCAGCTGGGGCCACACGAAATGAGTCTGAGCTGGGCGTGCTAGAGACCGTCTTCCTTCGCTGCACATCTCGCCTGGCACGAAAGTGTTTTCTTTTCCTCCAGGGACCGTGATCTTTCTGCGTTGGAAGTCTTGGGTCTCAGTTCTGGTTGTTGTTTGACTTCTGGGGCTTTTGTCCTTCCCAGAGCCTTTGTCTTCTGGGGAGTGAACAGCTTCCTCCCTCGGCCTCCCCTTCCCCATCCCTGCCTTTTCCTTCTTCCCCCTTTCCTTGCACTTTGCTT